AAGAAACTGCGGCATGCAAGTGACCGATTCGATTCTCAGAATTATTCTAGTTTCAGTTGCGCCGAGCGTTATGTAAGCTTAATTCAACCCGCTACATCTATTCTTTTATAAGATTTTGATCACGTAACGAATATCGCAGTTTTTACTCACCACAAACTTTCAAAATCGTAGCTTTACAGATGGCCACTCGACCCTTGTTTGTACCAGTCAATATGTCAACTGTTGTCCCTTCTTTTCACTCCACGGCGCCAACGACTTTCTTTTCTTTTACAACACTCACGCTATTCTCGTTTTCCCATTGAACCACAATAAAAGCTATCTTTAGAAATGTTATATTAAGCAAAACAGTTGAGAAAAGCGATCAACCGATCCAAAGTACATTCAAAGATGAGCGCCAAATGGAGTCTTCTTTGTTTCCGATCACGGGCATGATCACGTGGATCTTTTAGGACTTGTCATTGGCTAGCAAAGTGAATCCGCTGGCTTGCCGATTGCAGTGTTAAGAGAAGCGCCCAACTTTATTCTGACTTCTCCGACCGGTTCTCTGCTTCTAGAAGATGGATAGCTTGGTGATATAAATAAAGATGTGAGCTCACTCTATGTAGAAATAATCGAAAAGAATCGATCGTATTACAAATGCACGATTTGTGGCCGAAAGTTGTCGAGGAAACAAAGACTCGAAACTCACTTGAGTTGTGTTAATGGCCAAGGTGAGAAATAACACAAGCCAATCACAGTTTTGAATGCGACTACAAATCGTCTTTTACCCTCATATTTATAAAAGAAGGATACCACATTCGGAAGTATAAGAGATACATAGATGATCCCAGTGTACCAGTACCTAAATCTACAAAGCTTGACCGTAGCAAGCGTTCAGCAACACGTTCCAACACCGCCATCTCGATTTCTCAGTCAGTCGTTTCCACTGAACTTAAAGCAGTATTGACAACAGAGTAGAGTGCGTCTTACAAAGGAGAAACATTTGTACAAGAGACAGGAGTAGCTATATGCGATTACAGAGGTGCGTTGGAACTCTGGTCCACAAATAGTTATGCACTGCCCGAAGTATAAAACAATCTTGTTGATAGCTGACAGACAGAGAAGAACAACAAGTAAACTTAAGAGCTGTTATTATTGAAGTGTGACTATCACTTTTCATTTTTATATAAAGAAGGACTTGTAATTTGCACCAAAAATAAAAAGATGTAATATTTTTTTGGGAGATCCAGTGATTGGGACATTTAAGAAATTAAGTTATGAAAGGAAACTTGGTTGGTACTTCTCACTACTAACAAGTCTTGTTGACAAATATTTTCAGATCAGAGTTTCAAATAAAGTAAATTGAAGACGTCATATAAAAGGTGTTTTTCCTCTAAGGGAACATTGACTACCTCTGTCTTGTCTGCATGCCAAATGTTTGCAAAGTGTGTGGATGATCCACAAGTATTGGAACTCTTACAAAAATGTTTTGTAAGAATAAAAACAGCAAAACAAATTACAGCAATTAGTCATGAAAATAGAGCAAAAAACTGAAAAAAAAAAGCAGCAACAACAATCATGAAAAAAGAAAGATTAATTAGGTGTTGAATTTGTTTATCTAAGGCATGAAATTTCTACTAAAAGTATTGTCAACAAAAAGTCTCTGACAGCGTTTGAGGCAACTGAGCTTGACTGTTCCAAGGTTTTCTAACAAAGGCAACCAGTAATGTAGGTTAGGGAAGTAAGATAACAATGTAATTATTGTTAATTATTGTGGAAGTTGGCAATTTCCATTTAACATAACTGACAGCTAGTTCATGAGAAAATCCATATTAATATAAAGATTTACTAAAACTTAGTTTGAGTAATAAATTTCATGATCTTTAAGTTATAAACATGTACATGTATGTATATCTCTTGGTAAGTTTTGTATAGCATACCTTTTATTGAGCCAAAGTTTTAAGCCTCTGAAATTACTCTTTTTCTTAAAACCTTCACATTCAAGGTATTGAGAATTTCTTAGAATTTATGTGGACCTCAGGGTATTAAAATTGCCTCAAATTCAATTCCCAGAAATTCCCAAGAGTTCCACACTTCTTAAATTATAGGTAGTTTGTAAAGCTGAGAATTCCTAGGGATTCCAAGTCCTCACAAAACTGGAGTCTTCCTTTCCCAGAAATTCCCAGTAATTCCAAGCTTTTTAAATCAGAGTTAATTTGCATAGTTGGGAATTTTTGAGAATTCCTAGGAATTCCTAGGAATTCCTAGGAATTTTTAGGAATTCCCAGAAATTCCCAGAAAACTGGGAATTTGGTTTGCAAGGGTCATTTGCATAATTGGGAATTTTTGAGAATTCCTAGGAATTCCTAGGAATTCCTAGGAATTCCCAGAAAACTGGGAATTCAGTTCGCAAGGGACCCTTCTACTTGCACCCAGTTTATATAGGTGTAAACAAAATTGAGTTAGTTCAGAAACTGATACTGTACAGGAATTTGGTAAATCTAATCTTCCCAAGGAGAACACTTGATGCTAAATATTTAGTCAATACAATGTTCTTTTTTCCTTTTGTTTTTGGTATGGTGACCAAAATGTTCAAAGCCTGAAGCACTGTGTAAAGTAAGACCAGTGAACTATGTTAATACCTGTAGCATATAATTTCAGAAGTTCTGAGGCTTCTCTAGCCCACTTTCATAATCGATTAAGCATTGCTTCCTACATGTACATGAAGGAAGATGTTCTTCATCTTTTAACGAGCGTGGGACAAAGAAAAAATTCTGAGTCCCCATGAGGAATCAAACGGCAGACATTCAGATTCTGCACTCCGATGCTCTACCACTGAGCCAGAGAGACTCTACAGTGAGTGGGGTATATTACAAAGTTCATATGACATGCATCCTGCATAGTGTCATGTTTGTAAATAGAATGAGAGATGGTAAATTTTATGCTCGGTAAAGAAATAGATTGAAAGAAAGATGTTTTTCATCTTGTCACATGCGTGGGACAAAGAAAAAATTCTGATTCCTATTCTATTTACAAACATGACGCTGTCAACATTGCCGATCCAAGCAGTAAGCAGGACGCATGTCATGCTCTACGACTGTGGCTGAGTGTAGGGCATTGGACCCCAGAATCTGAAGGTATAAGGTTCAATTCAACATTGGGATTCAGAATTTTTTCTTTGTCACACGCTTGTGACAGACAAAAAATATCTTTCTCTATTTTTTTACCGAGCTTAAACCTTACCATCTCTCTTATTCTGTGAAAGAAATATGTAGTTATGAATTAAGGAACAATGAAAGTGGATCTGAAAAGTTTTCATTTTTTTAAAGTTTTTTTTGCACTAAAATGAGGTGACTGAGAGCAACAAATAAGATCTCTTTTCCTTTTTTTTTTTAATTGTAACTAATGAAATTCATTTTTTTTAATCTTTAATTTGATGAAGTGGCAAATGCATATAGTAATTTTAAGTATTTTTTTTTCTGAAAAGGACAAGGGGTGCCATGCCACAGAAACTGAACACATTGATCTGGATTTTTATATAGAACTCAAGCTGAAGAAAAAAAAGTCACATCTTAAGATTACTAACCGTTTAACTCCCAGAAGTGATTAACATGTAACTTCTCCCTATAATATCCATACATTATCCAGCACAAAAGTTATGAGAATACTCAGACTTATCAGGTATAAGTTGTCATCTTGATTTAACACCAAATTCTCATAACTAATTCACAAGGATATGAAGCAGCTAGGAGAGAGAATTATCAATCAGATCTTGGGAGTTAAAGGGTTATGAATACCTTTCTAAACTTACCATATCTTGAAAAACTGCAGCACTTTCCAGCCCAGGCATGGCAAACTATTCCACAGTGCTTATGATATAGGAGTTGACTATTTTGTCCACAAATTCATCATTTCTGAACAGTGTCTTCAAACGATGGCCTAATGCACAGTCTGGGTAAGCTCTACCTGAAATGTTCATGATGGAGAAAACAAGAGATTATTTTATTTTGAATAATTTAATAAAACCAAGACCTCTTAATGGCTGAGTGCAAGATCACCACTGTTAAAATTACAGACCCAAGTTTTTTTTCCCTGGGACATAAATCTGAGCCCAAAAAAAGACCAAACAAGGTTCTGTCACTTAAGAGTATGGACTGAGAAGATGAGGCTCATAAGATTTTTAATATATCTCAGGGTCCAATATAAGGAGAAGATCTTAAATGATGCAAAATTTAAAAATTTTCAGGCTGTTCAGTGAATACAACCCACTAAATTGACCAATCATTGTGCATCTACTAACTGAGGAAAAATTCATCATAAAGTAATTAATTTCATTCACAGCCAGGCTATATCAGTTTGACCACATGAGGGCAACACTGAGACTTCTTGCACCAAGCCTCATCTAAGTTCTATTGTTTTCTTGTGACTCAATTAAGTAGATAAGTACAGTGCCACTTTAACACAGTAAGTCTAGTGAAGATTCCACTGGGAACAAAAAGTAGAACTGACATTGAATAAGAAGCAAGAACAACACTTCTCATTCATGAAAGTTTGAATTGCTGTTGTTTGTCATGTTACTTAAACAGTTACAAGTTCTTTTATGACTTTACGTTTCCTTCTTTGAAGGCTCATCACCAGAGAGAAACCTCAAGAGGAAGATCTGAGATCCGAAAATTCTCGACTTCGGGAAACAATTCTTTCTTTGAAGGAAGAAAATAAAAAGTTAGTCCAAGAACGCGATTCTTTAAATTTTGCATTGCAAATCGTATCTAGAGAAGCAGCTGCACAATGCCTTCCAACGAATAACACCCCTAATGAACGCACTATTGTCCCAAATTTGGACGAGCCAACACCTTGTGCCAACAAACCTCAAGACTCCATTGTGAAATCAAAGAAGAAAAGAAAGAAATCGAAAAAACAAAGGAGGTCTTAATAACACCCCAGAAGGAAAAGAATCCGAACCGACCAAAACAGATCCAAAACAACCGAAAGAGCGCACAACTCTGCTCATAGGTGATTCGATGATCTCAAGAATACCTGGAAGAGACCTGGGAAAAGCAGTGGGCCATAGGGTTATAGTCAAGCCTTTCTCGGGTGCTACGACAAAGGCCATGAATCAATATCTCAAGCCAAGTCTGGAATTTTCGCCCAACGAAGTGATTTTACACATTGGGACTAATGATCTTAAACCAGGGAACCAAAGGTTGTTGCCGAATCGATAGTCGACCTCGCGAGACAGATCGAGAGCACCTGCGATACTACAGTCACGCTGTCGGAGCTTGTATGCAGAAAAGATAAGCTTGACCAGGCCGTAAAAACAGCCAACAAGCATCTAGAGAAGTTCTGCCATCAATTCGGATGGAAATTAATTCATCATGAGAACATATCTTATAATGGATTCAACAAAGGTGGACTGCACTTAAACTCTAAAGGTAATGTGCAGTTTTATAATAATTTTAAATCGCACCTAGAATGAGATAATGTGCTGTCCGTTAATGCCGTGCGAAATCGATCAAGCAGCCAAAGGGGCGTAAAATCTGCCTCAATATTGCCACCTTTGCGTGGCTTTAGAATGGCCTTACTCAATATAAATCAATTAACTACACATATAGACGAACTAAGAATCCTATTAACAAACAACGATATCGATATTATTTCTATAAACGAAACAAAACTGAACGAGAGCATTCAAGATCATGAAGTTCATATTCCGGGATACGAAATAATTCGCCGCGATAGACTTACGAAAGGCGGCGGGGGGGTATGCTTCTACGTTAAAAATTCAATCAACTTTACAGTACGATCTGATCTACATATGGATGCATTAGAGAATCTTTGCTTGGAAATCCATAAGCCAAAAACAAGACCTTTTGTGATTGTTACGTGGTATAGACCACCTGACTCTCCTATTGGCATTTTTTCACCTTTTGAATCCCTAATTGGGAAATTGGATAGTGAAAATGTAGAATTTTTTGTACTGGGAGACATGAATTGTGACATGGTCACAGCACGATATGACAATGATACATCCAAATTAAAGAATATTGCTGATGTCTACGGACTCGAGCAACTCATCGCTGAACCGACGAGGATAACACCCACCTCGTCAACTTTAATTGATTTAATTTACACCAACTGCTCGGATAAGATCGCCTGTTCGGGAGTTTGTCATGTTGGGATAAGTGATCATAGCATGGTGTATGTTTATAGAAAACTTGCTCTGAACGGGATGTCGAATGGACATAATTCAATAACATACGGAAATTTCCGAAAATTCGATTGCCAAAATTTTCGAGATGATATTCAGTCTCAATGTTGGAATAATGTATATGAGTCGTCCGACCCAAACGAGATGTGGCAGCAATGGAAATGTACATTTCTAGCTATCGCTGACAAACATCACTAGGAACTCAAAACCCATGAAAATCTTGTGAAATAATTCATTGTAAATTCACAGATTTTTCACAGGATTTTCATTGTTAAATCAATGACATTTTCATGGTCTCAGTGCCATGAAAAAGACCTGAAAAATCCCATGAAAAACCTGTGAAAATTTCCATATTCACGACCCATGAAATATTGAGTAAAGTGACCTAGAAGCCATGAAATACCCATGAAAATGGCATTTCATGGCCTTTTCAAAGGTACTGAGAAACCCATGAATTTCAAGCCCAAAATTTCATGGTGTCAAAGATCACTAGTTTTTAATGGGTTGCAGCAAATCATGACCCATGAATATCCTGTGAATATGTAAAAAATTCATTGACCATGAAAATTTTCCTTGAATTTTCATGGCCTCTACATGGTTTTTTCATGGCACATGAAAGTTAATTGCCACTTAGTTTTCATGGGGTTGTTAGGAATATGCAAGCACCATGAAAATTCTTTGGAAACCCTATGAATTTGGAATTAAAAATTCTTCACTTTTCTTGTACCAAAGACTGTACTACAGCATATAGCTTGCAGTATACCATAACTGTAATACATATACTATCACTTAAATTATACACTGAAGAACTAACCTATCTGTGAAACTTCTTGGTCCTGTTGTACAAGCACACACACATGAAAGACATGACCAGAAGTCTGGATTCTCTGATAGTTTATTTTGTTTCACCAGCTGTACATAAATATTACTTTAGGATTCCAAAATTGTGATAATTCAGTTTACACTTTCTTAAATAAAAAAAAGTTGGTATGAAATTTTCTGCATAAAATTAAGATGTTAATGATTTTTAGCTCTATTTTGATATCACTGATTTTCCTTGTGGAGACAGATTCTGCTCCTATATTTCTGTTTATTTAAACTATTTTGAAGGTATATTATAAATAAATTTGATGTGAAAAATATTTGGACGAAATTATTGAAAATATACTCACTGGTTTGATGTATTTTTGTCTAAACTTCAAATATCATTTCCTTCGTCTAATATCATGTGTAAAATGTTATGGACAGTTATTATAATGTCTATTTATGTAACAGCATTCATGTAAATTTCTTGATATGTTTTACACTTGTGATCAATACTCTCAAGGTAACTAACAACAAAACAATTACCAACTTTCTGCACTCTTGCATGTGTGAAGATATATCTATGGCTGACTATGTCAGTGTCTCTCTGTTTTGGCCACCTGAATGTGCCATCCTTCTTTCGGTTATCATTACTATTTGCATCTTCATCATCATTTGGACCAAGATAGGCTGCTTTAGCAAGTTTGCTTTTCCTTTCATCAGTTTTGTAGACCAACACTCTTCACTGTTTGCAAAATAAAGGGAGCACATCATCAGTTATCTAAGAGCCTTTCTTATGTACGTAGTAAACCTAGAAATGGATAACTCGCCAAAACAGGTTCTTTTCAACATGAAGCCGTCAGATACTAAGCGACGCACTGTGGAAGTTATGTGAGGTATTTCGTATTCAGAATTTGACTGTATTTTTTATTCCTAAGAACGGTCGTAAGTATTTCCATACAAACTCTTGTGATGTTTCGCCAGATGATCACAGAATAAAAATTTTCAAGTTAAATCAATAGTTAGCGCGCGCGCTCCGATGTTTACGCGTAATAAGATGACCAAGCTTGAACTTACCCCTTCACGTTGTAATGCATATCGATAACTTCATCTTGAGGAAACCTCTTTGAAAAAACTTTTCAGACGGTCCATTGCGTTGATCTGGAAAAAAGAGACTGCTACACAAACACTACGAGAAATACAATTGGAATGGAACCATTCCGTTCGAGTTACGAAAAGAACCGCCACTTCTTCGTAAATCACGTGTACTTTCACGTGGTGACCTTAGGTCATCGCAGCCATCATAGGTCAGCGGTCACATAGTGACCTCACAGGTTATCGTGTTCGACGTTACGAAATGACTCCGGAGAGGTCTCGTTGCTGCGTCTGTAATCTTACAAAATAAAGCAGCACAAAAAGCTGTTCGGTATTTGGAATTCGAAGCAAGTAACAATCGACAGGACATCAGAGTCCAAGAAATTCAGAGCTGACATCGACAGTGATTCCTGTGAAAGCGATCACGAAATCAACAACGATGTTGTAGAAGGCAATCTCAATGAATACATGAAGATAACGTTTCATCCCGACTGAGAAGATGGCCTGACTCTGTTAACCGGCGACTCTATGAACGAGGTAAAAATAGCATTTTTTTTCAGGTTACATTTGCACACTATTCAAAGTTCCAAATTGAGGTGACAAAGTGATTGATTTTTCATTGTTTTGTTCCACATTTCGTGTAGATGCAATGCGTACTATTGCTGTGCAATTTAAGCATCTTTACTCTGCAGGTGCCTTACGGGAAAAGCCCTAGAAGATTCCTCAGTCGTAAGAATGTAAGAGAAGGCCTTGAACAGGTTTCCAGAGTCATGGCTAACAATCAAAGCCAGCAGTGAGGCAGAAAAAAAATCAACAAAGTCGTCCAGGCATGGCGAAGGCAAAACTGCCCCAAAAAATCAAAGTGAGGATCAAACATCTGGGTCATTGCCTCCAGCTCCATTTGTCTCAACAAAGGAGCAAATTGAAGATCCATTGTTTTTAGTCATTGTTTTGTGATTTCCTGTACATTTTACGTTAACAAAGGCCACTTAAGATGTTTATGGACATTCTCATTCGACAGTTTTCGCGCTGTACACCAAAATTCCATCAGTGGATAAATTTATAACAAGTCAGTTCCACGGATCATGAAAGTCAGCTCGTTGATAAATCAGTGACTGTGATGAACTCATTAAATACCACTTTTAATGGCCTATGGATTCATCAATGAAATTCATGGGCAACAGATTTCAGGGAATATTCATGGCCCATTAATTTTGTTCTCCCAAAACAAATAAATTGTTAGCCCATGAAATGCTGTTTGATTGCAATTCATGGGCATGAAATTCATTCTGATGACTTTCTGGGGAAACTAATGGGTCATGAAATTAGACTTTGAAGAAATTCATGGGTCATGAAAGTAGGCATATAAAGAAATTCATGGGTCATGAAATTAATTCTGGTGACTTTCATGGCAAATCAATGGGTCATAAAAATAGACTTTGAAGAAATTCATGGGTCATGAAAAAAATTCCCCTAATTCATGGAAAATTCAGGGCTAAAAATAACCCCATGAAATTTCATTTTGCAGTATTCATGGGCCATGAAATGATCTTCATGGGTTTTTCACATGAAATTCATGGAATTTTCATAAAACTACAGTTCATAGTGCATGCCCCACTGAAAACGATGCGCGTTCGTTCACGAAGTTCTCCGTGGATTACCGCTGAGTTGAAAGACTTGATGCATAATAGAGATATAGTAAAAATCAAAGCAATCAAAACAAATGATCCCAACGATTGGGCAGTGTTTAAGAAACAAAGAAATTTAGTCCATAAGCAAGTACGCTTAGCAAAGCAAGTTTATTACCAAAATATTTTTAACAAGCACACTAGCGACTCCCGAAAGACCTGGCAGACTATAAACGAGCTAACTTCACGTAAATCTGGGAAAATGTCAGTGACATCACTAAAAGTGAATGGATTAACGATAACTAATCCACTGGAGCTATCAAACGAATTCAACAACCATTTTGCTAATATTGGTCCAAAACTTGCCAGTGAGATAGATTGTGATAGTAGTAGCTATCAACGATATCTTGCCGGTACAGATAAACGGTTTGAGCTCCAACCTACTAATCCAAATAAAGTATTTTCACTTTTAAATAAACTAGACAAGTCAAAAGCAACGGGCCTTGACACAATATCTGCTAGGTTTGTCAGGGAATGCGCTGACCTTATTTGTGTGCCGATATGTGACATTTTCAATCAATCTATTAGCCAAGGGAAGTTCCCAGATGATTGGAAATATGCAAGGGTTACACCTCTCTTTAAACAGGGTAACCGCGATGATGTCAACAATTACCGCCCAATATCGGTGATTCCAATAGTGGCGAAAGTGTTTGAAAGGACAGTTTACGATCAATTGTATGCCTATCTGGAAGAACATGATATTCTATACCAAAATCAATCAGGGTTTCGTGCTACTCATTCAACTGTAACAGCATTGTTGGAAGCGACAGATTCTTGGGCATATAATATTGACAACGGGAAAATCAATGGAGTCATTTTTCTAGATTTGAAAAAAGCTTTTGACACTGTTGATCATCAGATCCTCCTATCGAAATTAAACTATTATGGTATACATGGCAAATCTTTCAAATGGTTTCAGTCATACTTGGAAAACCGCACACAGAAATGTTCTGTGAACGGATCGCTGTCCAGCAGCTGCTCATTAACTTGCGGCGTCCCCCAGGGGACCATCCTCGGTCCACTATTGTTTTTATCATATATCAACGATCTTCCAAATTGTTTATTAAATTGTGAGCCGAGGATGTATGCTGACGACACACACCTTACATATGCGGGCGGTGATCTTGAGAGTATACAGCTTTGTCTGAATGAGGACTTAACAAACGTTTTCAACTGGCTACAAGCGAATAAACTCACACTGAATATGACAAAAACCGAATTCCTGCTAATAGGGTCAAGGCAGAGACTGGGTACTCTCACAGCTTCACCAACAATTAGAATGAACAGCACTCAGGTGAGCCAGGTTACTTCTACAAAATCGCTTGGTGTGATTATAGACGATAGGCTCCATTGGCATAGTCACATCGAAAAATTAACAAAAAAGATTGCCTCTGGTATCGGGTGCCTAAAGCGAGTCAGGCATCTGATCCCAGCATCGACCTTACATCTGCTTTACCAAGCTTTAGTAAAACCTCACTTTGATTACTGTGACATTGTCTGGGGTAGCTGTGGGATAACGCTACGAGATAAGCTGCAGAAATTACAGATTAGAGCAGCCCGTGTTTTGACATTTTCCAGCTATGATGCCGATGCAACTAAGCTACTTGAATT